TAGTGATAATTATAGCCATCATATGCATCAGACTCTTTTAAAATAAATAGGAAGGAAAATTAAATAACATGTAAATGAGGGGCAAAATGGCATAAATGATAGAAGTTTCGTTTGTCCCCTCTTGTGACCACATCAAAGTTGAGATGGAAACACATAGCAAACAGCAAGTAGAGTCACCTGGGGGTTTAGATGAACAGAAGCCCTACAACTAGGGAGAGAAATAAGAAATCGCCCTGTAATGGTTGGAAGGGGTGAAGACGTGAGGCTGCCCAGTCCCAAGCAGCTGAGTGGGACAGAGACTGTGGCAGCTGCAGATGCCTCTAAAAGGGGCCGTGTCCATGAGTAGACTTTCGTGGTGACAGACCTGCTCGCACTGAGCACCAGCATCAGGTCAGCTGTTGAGGGAGCACCAAGGACATACAGGGAGACACCAAGTTGTCGAAGCGAGGGCAGGATGCAAGGCTCTCTCCTTGGCAGAAGTATGGGCAGCATCTATTGTTCCTCTGTTGAGCCCTTCCCCACCCAGTGCATGGATTCAGCACCGCCATAGCTGAGATGTCATCAAACTGGATAACAGAGGTCGCTCCACCCAGAAGATTCCCTAAAACTCCACCTCCCTGAAATCGCAGCCCTACCCAAGCTACATTCAGTTGTGTCCTTAGCGAGCCCTGTGCCACTTGCTGAGCAGCACCAGGACTCACACTGGTGGTAGCTGCCCTCGGTTTCTGGCATGGCCTCTCGGGGGCAACTATAAGCACAGGATCTGAAGATTGCTTGCTGAATCTTAACAGGTGGCCTCACAGGGGCATAGGCTGGAATTAAACTTGGCCTGCAGCTGAACCCTTCTCAGGACTGTGCCACTGGACACCTACTACACAAAGCCACACTAATAAGACTGGGAGACTTATGAGCTTTGATTAGTACATAGAAACAGACACAGAAAAGCAGCCAAAATGGGAAGACAAAGCAGCAGAAACCATGAAAGAACAGAAATCCAGGAATAATGGAGTCAAGCAATCTAACAGATGCAGAGTTCAAAACACTGGTTATAAAGATGCTCAATGAAATTAAGGAAAGTGTAGATGAACTCAGTGAGAACTTTAACAAAAAGATAAAAAACATAAAAATGGAAATGGAAATGGAAATTATAAAAGGGAACCAGTCAAAATGAAGAATACATTATCTGATCTGAACAGTCTATTAAAGGGAATCGACAGAGTGGATAAAGAAGAGGATCGAACTATCAATATAGAGGATGGAGAAGCCAAGGACACATAACCGGAATGGCAAGAGAAAAGGAACCAAGAATATAATAATAATTTAAGGAGCCTATGGGACAAAATTAATGATAACAACATGTGACATATAGGTACCTGAAGAAGAAGAGAGAGAGCAAGAGGTTGAAAACCTATTTGAAAAAATAATGATGAAAAACTTCCCTGACCTGACAAAGAAAATAGACATACAAGCCCAGGAAGCTCACAGAGTCTCAAACAAGGATAAACCCAAAGAGGCCCCAACCAAGACACATCACGATTAAAATGCCAAAGATTATAGACAGAGAGAGAATCTTAAAAGCCACAAGAGAAAATTCCTTC